CATGAATGTTAAGTGTATTTGTCTTTAAAATGTAGATGCATACAATCATTATTTTAGTATGTTTTTACAATGTGTATACAATTATATAATGGATATAATTGATATATGGATATATATATATATATATTAGGGGTGTAACGGTACACAAATATGACGGTTCGGTACGTACCTCGGTTTTAACGTCACGGTTCGGTATGATTTCGGTACAGCAGGGGGAAAATATATATATATGTATATATATATATATATGTGTGTGTGTGTGTGTGTGTGTGAGTAATTTGCATTACTGTATTATTATAGTAGTCACATTTTTAGTCAATTCCTGTGATTTGTACAGTATGTCGTGTAAAAATGGTTTTGACCTTTCTTGTGATTTGATATCATCTCTCTTGTGACAATAGGATTGGCAGAACTTGCCTCAAGAAAGTATAAACCGGCTGCCAAGTGCTTCCTGCAAGCCTCCTTTGACCACTGCGACTTCCCTGAGGTTGGTGTCATTTTCAGCCTTGTTCTAATGCCACACCAGATATTTCTAATAAATTTTTTGTAGATAAATAAGATGCAGTGTTTTCCTACATGGTGTAATGAGACGCTCTATTTGCTTTTTAGCTACTTTCCCCCAGTAATGTAGCAGTGTACGGGGGGCTGTGTGCATTGGCTACATTTGACAGACAGGAACTGCAGCGAAATGTCATCTCAAGCAGGTGAACTTTCTCACTTTCAAACTAGGTGTCTTAATTAACACGAGGTAGATTACTAGTGTTACTGGTTACATTTGGATAAAATTTCATTGATTTAATTTTACTCGTCCTTTTGTTTTTTTAGCTCCTTTAAATTATTTTTAGAGTTGGAACCACAAGTCCGTGATATTATCTTCAAGTTTTACGAGTCAAAGTATGCATCTTGTCTGAAAATGCTGGATGAAATGAAGGTAAGTTTACTGATGTGTGTTCAGTTGCTAGGTCTTGATTTAGCAAAGTTTCAGACACTGATTCTTTCTGTTATCATTTTAGTTGAAATTGTGATTCATGTGTTTTAATCATGGTGTTTATTTTTGTATTATAGGATAATCTCCTCCTAGACATGTATCTGGCCCCTCATGTAAGAACACTGTACTCACAAATCAGGAACAGAGCCCTCATACAGGTACGTAAAGGGATATGTGAGTTTGGTCTATGAATTTTATTTAGTTGCCGAACCATGACTTCAACTTAATCTGATTTTAAAGGAATAGTTCATCCAAAAATGACAATTGGATGATTAAATGATGACAGAATTGTCATTTTTGAGTGAACTATCCCTTTAAATATGTAGAATTCACAACAGCGATGTTCAATATGTGCTCAAAACTGGACTTATATATTTGCAAGGCATATTGACACATGCACATGATCAATGAACATCAGGTCATCCCTGTTTTTCAGCCTTGCTTGACATAGTTATATTGATATGGAATGCTGAAAGTTGAAAGTGTAATAACCATGAGATAATATTGGCTCCGGCTCCTAAAGTATTAGCGTAGTTGCATTTACATGACCAATTGATTAACCTTTGTCTTTTATTTTCCACGGGCAGTACTTTAGCCCCTACGTGTCAGCAGACATGAACAAAATGGCCGTGGCCTTTAATACCACAGTGGCAGCTCTGGAGGATGAACTGACCCAGCTGATCCTGGAGGGCCTGATCAATGCTCGTATCGACTCCCACAGCAAGGCAGGGCTGCACTCTCTCATTTGTTACCCTGACACTTCTTTTTCTGGAACAATGTTCCCTTTTCTTGTTGCTAAGCTAAAATACTTTAGCTGATTTTTGTGTCAATACCTTGAATTATATTTATAATCCACATTTCTCTTGCTTGGTCATTGAGCTCCTTACCTTGAATAACACACACCATGTTGCCTTTTTTGGCTAAAACAAGGAAATGTTCTAGAAACAGCCTTTGGTCAAGATTATGCATTAAAATGTTTCATCAGTGAATTGAAAACTGTGTTTGTAGATCCTGTATGCCAGGGACGTGGATCAGAGAAGCACAACCTTTGAGAAGTCTCTACAGATGGGCAAAGAGTTCCAGAGACGAGCGAAAGCCATGATCCTGCGGGCAGCTGTGCTTCGTAATCAGATACACGTCAAGGTAACAGGGACCCCAGGGTAACGTGTCCTCGCTCTGCTTTGCTCTTCACTTCACCATCACCTGACCATCTCCTTCCCTTCAGCATGAGTGTCTCAGAGCTCTTTTGTATTTCTAAGTCAGCATCAAAGTGCTGCATTTATTAAAACAGTTACACGTCTGAGGATGCGTCATTAACATTGTGATGCTTTGAGATGAAGCTGTACAGTATCTTCTAATTGAAATGAGAAGCTGTACAGTATCTTCTAATTGAAATGACTCATATAAAGGAGCCTCAGCTGTATTACTGCACTTATAAGCAAACTGCATGTGAGTTTTGTTGTACTAAGTGAATGTTAAATTAATATTCTGGGTTCATTTTAGGTTAATCTCAATTATCAGAACTTGTCTCTTTAAAAAAAAAAAAAAGCAAAAAATCTGGGTCACAGAGAAGCACTTACAATAGAAATGAACCGGAACAATCCAATTACTTGCTGTTTTAGCAGTATAACCAAAAGAAGTAGATATGTCTATATGAAATTATATTTCTGTTCAAAAGTTTGGGGTCAGTAAGAAGAAAATGCTGTTCTATTGAACTTTCTATTCACCAAAGAATCCTGAAAAAATGTATCCCTAAAATATAAAGCGTCACAACTGTGTTCAACATTGATTATATATATATATATATATATATATATATATATATGATTTGCAGCATATATGATTTCTGAAGGATCATGTGACACTGAAGACTGCAGTAATGATGCTGAAAATTCAGCTTTACCATCACAGGAATAAATTATTAAATAAAATGTAAAATATATTAAAAGGTGGAAAGTTAAGTTGTAATAATATTTGACAATATTATTTTTACTGTATTTTTGATCAAATAAATGCAGCCTTGATGAGCATAAGAGACTTCTTTTAAAAACATTCAAATATGCTTACCCAACCCAAACTTTTGAATTGTAGTGTATATACAATTTTGTTGCCAATACAGCATAACATAAACCCTAAAATGACTGTATAAATGAAGAGAACAACTTTATAGTTCAAATAATAAACTTTTTTTTAATTGAAGCATTAATGTCAGTGCTTTTATAAAATAAGCTTCGGATTTCTTCTATTAAAAATTGGCCCTATTTCCTTCCATTGTAAGTGCCTCACGAGAACCTCAAATTTTGCATTATTTTTTTTAAGTTTTTTTTTTAAATTATCAACCTTATGCCACAAATGCTGTGGATTGAGCTTATCTTGTAAATATTTTCAAATCAGTCCACTAGCTTATTGCATTTAGGCAATCAACTAGATGCAAGTTCCTTTTAATATGTATGGAAAAACTGTAAGCCCTCTGAGATCTTGTGAGGTTCTGTTCCCTGCGAAAGAGCTATTAGATTTTGAGACACAGAAAAATTGAAATGCTTGTTATACCCCTAGTCTTCATCTGTCATTCTTCAAGTATTCCAGCATGCATTTCCTTCCCAGTCTGTTTCTCCTGCTCTACGTGATGCTTCTCACTGATCCCTCTCATTTCTTTTGCAGTCCCCTCCAAGAGAAGGCAGTCAAGGGGAGCTCACACCTGCCAACAGCCAAACACGAATGAGCACCAACATGTGAAGACTCGACCAGATGCCTCTCCTAGGAAAGTACACGGGGCCACTGCCGCATCTTAGGCCCCAGTTTAGAAATCAATTATTTCCCTGCTGAAGAGAGAAAAATCACAATCTAAAGACTTTATTTAAGTTGGGAAGAAGATATCTGTTGTCTGTATTAAAGACAAGCACACCCTGTTGCTCGAATGAAAAGGAAAAAAAGATAAAAAGAGAAAGGCGGCCCTTAAGCTGTACTGGCCTGTTGTTCTTTGTAAAGGATGCACTTTCCTCTGTATCTTGTGACAAACCTTGATTACACATTGAGAAACCTCATCACGAAATATGCTTTTAAAATAAACATACATTCAAAAAGATGCTTCAATCCGGAAAGTTTTTTTCTGTTTCTAGTGTTGCAACTGGAAATGCAAGACTGATTTGAACACTCTTTAGAGTGATTTCAGTGTCATCTCTGTTTAATAACATTTAGTTATTTCTCTGTTGTGTTGTGTTCTACTGTTTAAGTAAGACTGTTACCCCAGTGAATTATCATAAGCTGGTCAGTGACATTCAAAGGTAGACTACTTGCTTTTATGGCCTTGAATAAACTATACCTAGTAACATTTAAGAACTATTCAGTTTTTTTGGTCATATTATTAGAAAAGGAGAAATGCTAATTTTAACACTTCAAAATTTGAGCAAAATTTCCAAAATGTATAAAGCGTCACATCTGTGTTCAACATTGATTATATATATATATATATATATATATATATATATATGATTTGCAGCATATATGATTTCTGAAGGATCATGTGACACTGAAGACTGCAGTAATGATGCTGAAAATTCAGCTTTACCATCACAGGAATAAATTATTAAATAAAATGTAAAATATATTAAAAGGTGGAAAGTTAAGTTGTAATAATATTTGACAATATTATTTTTACTGTATTTTTGATCAAATAAATGCAGCCTTGATGAGCATAAGAGACTTCTTTTAAAAACATTCAAATATGCTTACCCAACCCAAACTTTTGAATTGTAGTGTATATACAATTTTGTTGCCAATACAGCATAACATAAACCCTAAAATGACTGTATAAATGAAGAGAACAACTTTATAGTTCAAATAATAAACTTTTTTTTAATTGAAGCATTAATGTCAGTGCTTTTATAAAATAAGCTTCGGATTTCTTCTATTAAAAATTGGCCCTATTTCCTTCCATTGTAAGTGCCTCACGAGAACCTCAAATTTTGCATTATTTTTTTTAAGTTTTTTTTTTAAATTATCAACCTTATGCCACAAATGCTGTGGATTGAGCTTATCTTGTAAATATTTTCAAATCAGTCCACTAGCTTATTGCATTTAGGCAATCAACTAGATGCAAGTTCCTTTTAATATGTATGGAAAAACTGTAAGCCCTCTGAGATCTTGTGAGGTTCTGTTCCCTGCGAAAGAGCTATTAGATTTTGAGACACAGAAAAATTGAAATGCTTGTTATACCCCTAGTCTTCATCTGTCATTCTTCAAGTATTCCAGCATGCATTTCCTTCCCAGTCTGTTTCTCCTGCTCTACGTGATGCTTCTCACTGATCCCTCTCATTTCTTTTGCAGTCCCCTCCAAGAGAAGGCAGTCAAGGGGAGCTCACACCTGCCAACAGCCAAACACGAATGAGCACCAACATGTGAAGACTCGACCAGATGCCTCTCCTAGGAAAGTACACGGGGCCACTGCCGCATCTTAGGCCCCAGTTTAGAAATCAATTATTTCCCTGCTGAAGAGAGAAAAATCACAATCTAAAGACTTTATTTAAGTTGGGAAGAAGATATCTGTTGTCTGTATTAAAGACAAGCACACCCTGTTGCTCGAATGAAAAGGAAAAAAAGATAAAAAGAGAAAGGCGGCCCTTAAGCTGTACTGGCCTGTTGTTCTTTGTAAAGGATGCACTTTCCTCTGTATCTTGTGACAAACCTTGATTACACATTGAGAAACCTCATCACAAAACATGCTTTTAAAATAAACATACATTCAAAAAGATGCTTCAATCCGGAAAGTTTTTTTCTGTTTCTAGTGTTGCAACTGGAAATGCAAGACTGATTTGAACACTCTTTAGAGTGATTTCAGTGTCATCTCTGTTTAATAACATTTAGTTATTTCTCTGTTGTGTTGTGTTCTACTGTTTAAGTAAGACTGTTACCCCAGTGAATTATCATAAGCTGGTCAGTGACATTCAAAGGTAGACTACTTGCTTTTATGGCCTTGAATAAACTATACCTAGTAACATTTAAGAACTATTCAGTTTTTTTGGTCATATTATTAGAAAAGGAGAAATGCTAATTTTAACACTTCAAAATTTGAGCAAAATTTCCAAAATGTTTGAACAACACTAAGCCCAAGGAACAGATGAGAAACACCCCCCATACAGAATAACCACAGCTCTGTACACACATTTACATTTATGGACCGTATTGGATTAATTCAAGGGGTTTTCTGAGTAACTGTCCCACATATTTAGAATAAGGCACTGAGTTGAGTCCTGATGCTTTAAAGTAAGGTGTGGAAAAATAAACATGTCGGTTTATAATAATAAGAAAATGTCACTATATTGAACCAAAGTTGTATTGGAGTTGCATACTTTTTTGAAACGCTCAAAGAATGACAAAGACAAAGGCAATACAATCACGGCAATAAGGGTAAGGTATTTGAATCAGACAACATATTTAAAAAAATAACAAATTCACTAGGTCAGGAATCTTTGTAGTGTAACTTTCCTCATCTCTAAAATGAATGTCAGTATGAGTGTGTGAAATAGTCACAATGATCATGACCATACAGGAATGTAATTAGAGATCTCAGAGTAAAAGTACATTTATGTACATGTTCAAAAAAAAACAAACATAAAAATGCATTAAAAGTCAAAGGTGTTTGATTGTGGTTGCAACATACATATCTGCCATATCTTTCGTTTTGGAAGACAAATATAGTAAAAATGCAGTTCAAATAATGTTTGAGTGAAGATGTCCATCAGTGTATTTCCACAGAGCGTCCCAAGTTAAACGTCCAGCTCCTCTAAGGTGAGCAGGGAGCAGTACAGGTTTGTGCAATAAGAGTGGTTGCTTCATATACCACTTTCCCAGTAATTATCAAAATATACTATTCTAATAAGCAATCTTAAAATATTAAGAACATGGAACTATTCACCCAACAGCAGTCCAGAAAGTGGTACTTCGTTACAGAAAACAATGACTCTACAGATGGACTAGCCTAAGTAACAGTAGCACTGATCTTTTCTACGCCTGTTTCTTTGCATGTTCAGTTAATTTGGTGTGATATGGATCCAAATCACATATCAACAGTGACAAACCAATTTTGGCTACAAATGCAGTCTTGTACCTCCAATTCAGTGCAGCAATGTGAAGTGATAAATCAGTTCAATGTGTCTTCAGATGTCACGGTTGCCCATATCCAGCACACATCTGCTTTACAATGGATCATGGACTGCAGTGGAAACTGTCCCATTAGTCAGCCCACCACCCGTATCTGATTTACACTGTTTCAAAGCCTTGGTTTTGAATCTCAATCCATGGCCTATAACCCAAAAATGAACAGAGAGCAAACAGTTAGTCTTGTAGAAGTTGAAAGACATTACTAGATACATTCAGATACATGCTGGTAAGGAGACTATATCATAACATCGGAACAATTTTGTTTTACAGTTGGGAAAATATTGATTTGATTCCCTGCTGATTTTGTAAGTTTGCCCACTTACAAAGAAATGAAGGGTCTGTAATTTTATGATAGGTTTATTTTAACAGAGAGACAGAATACCAACCAAAAAATCCAGAAAAAAAAACACATTATATAAAGGTTAGAAATTGATTTGCATTTCAGTGAGTGAAATAAGTATTTGATCCCCAAGCAAAACATGACTTGGTGCAGAAACCCTTGTTGGCAAGCACAGAGGTAAGACGTTTTTTGTAGTTGGTCACCAGGTTTGCACACATCTCTGGAGGGATTTTGATCCACTCCTCTTTACAGATCCTCTCTAAATCCTTAAGGTTTCTTGGCTGTCGTTTGGCAACTCGAAGTTTCAGCTCCCTCCACAGATTTTCTATAGGATTGAGGTCTGGAGACTGGCTAGGCCACTCCATGACATTAATGTGCTTCTATAATATTTTCCCCACTGTAATTTTAAACATTCTTACAAGTTAATGTAACTTTCTCTTAGGCTCTTTAACAAAATATTCGGCTCAAAATGTACACGATAAAATATTTTAGCAAATAAAATCCTAATGTCCCATTCTTTACAGTATTAAATCACTAAACATCTCCAAACTAACTTGTTCACTATGCAGCTTGTGAAGCTACTGCGAGTATTACTGATCAAGTCACTTTGCGGTTCATACACAGTGAAACAGCTGGTTCATACACTAACCAGGACAATCAGCCACTTCCTTGAAAGCCTTCCTCTTGCAGCAGCCACGGCACAAGTTGAACACACACTTGTTCCCCTGTTGAGGGAGCAGAGTAAAATTAATTTGCCTTGTTTACATCTGTGAATTTAAGATTTTTATAAAGCACAAGAAATGGCTCTGTAAACACTTTGAGAATGAATACATCAAACCCATAAAATAGTCAGATGAAAGAAAAGATAAAAGTCTTACTTTAGGGTTTCCACACTGCTCACACTTAATATATTTAGCTGAAGAACACAAAGAAGTAAAGGCAATGTTACTTTACCTAAATCTATAAATGTTAGCCAACATCTCAACGATAATACACTACTGTTAAAAAGTTTGGGGTCAGTAACATTTTTGAAAGAAATTAATATTTTTATTCAGAAAGGACGCATTTAATTAATCAAAAGTGAAGACATTTATAGTGTTACAAAAGATTTCTATTTCAAATAAATGCTGTTCTTTTGAACTTTCCATTCATCAAAGTATCCATAAAATATTAAGCAGCACAACTGTTTTTGACATTGATAATAAGAAATGTTTCTTGATCAGCATATTATGATGATTTTTGATTGATCATGTGACACTGAAGATTATTATTATTTTTTTTTAAATATCTTACTGACCCCGAACTTCTGAATGGTAGTGTATTCGCAGGTTACAATAATATGCACTGTGCCATTCATGTCACTTAAAGGCCCCATTATGTCTGCAGGCATTAGGAAATATTGGGATAAGATTTAGCCTTACGTTTCAGCTCTGGACAGAAGTTTTTGTTGGGGTTACGGGCTTTCTTCTTCTGCTTGTTCTTGGACAGGGAGTCGTTGGATCCGTCGCCGTCCTCCAGTGCCCTCTTTACACTCACAGCTTTTGTTTCCGGTGCTTTCTGCCCATTTTCAGTGTTTGGATCCTTGGGCCTGCAAAATATTCCAGCCTCACAATCAAGTTCCAATGTAACCACTGTTATATTCAAACTAATTTATGTCTACCATGGACAGAATTTTTTTCTTTGAACCTTGGCTTTGACCTATTTAGTAAGTGTCCAAGATTTTGATTGATATTATACTGTTTTGCTGAGACCACAGACTCACGGTGGTCTGACGTAGGGCTGGCATATCCAGTGAGGAAAGGGAAGTCGAGTCTGAGTCCATTCTGATTCATCTTTAGCCATCTCCTTCTGTAACAGTAAAAAGCAACTGCTTCAGAAAATTAAATAAGCCTAATGTAATAAATCTTTCTGTCTTGGAATAAAGATGGACTGATGAAGAATTTGTAATCAACAAAATTCCTTTACCTGGCAACGTTGTTTCAGCTGTCTGTTGACCTCTGCAACCCCAGCTACGTTTTTCGCTTTGGCCAGCTCCTCCCTCAGGTCTTGATGTATCTGTAAGCTGTTGTAATAAAAAGACATACTTATTATGGAATTCACCAGTCATCAACTTCCTGTTTGGGGTCGGTAAGATTTTTGAAAGTTTTTGAAAGAAGTCTTTTATGCTCAACAAGGCTGCATTTCTTGATCAAAAATACAGTAAAAACAGTAATATCATAAAATATTATTACAATGTATTCCTGTGATGTCAAAGCTGAATTTCAGCAGCTATTCCTTCAGTCTTCAGTGTCACATCTAACAGACACATCCTTCAGACAGAAACATTTCTTCTTCTTATCAATGTTGAAAACCATTATACTGCTTAATATTTTTTTTTTTAAACCTGTGATAAATTTTTTTCAGGATTCCTTGATTAAGAGAAAGTTCAGAAAAACATTTATTAACAAGCATTTATTTGAAATTTTCTGTAGCATTATAAATGTGTTTACTGTCACTTTTAACTAATTATATGTGCCCTTGCTGAATAAAAGTATTAATTTCTTTTAAAAAAATCTTACTGACCCCAAACTTTTGAATGGTAGTGTATTTAATGAACTCTCTTAATTCATTAAGAGTAAGGATGCACGATATTATCGGACCGATATCGGAATCAGCCGATAATGGCTTTAAATGTAAATATCGGCATCAGTCCGATAAGAAAAATTTTGCCGATATGTCTTGCCGATAAGATGAATACATTAACTCACATGTGCTCATGGGTATGCTAGCGATTAGATCAGTCAGCATTGTGGCTCATTTTTGAAGCAAAGTTTTGCCTGAATGGTGATTAGATGCAGCGATCCAAAACAGTGTATTTAAACTGAGAATGCACATACAGAATGATGCCTTTGGTGTGTGATAAACAGTAAACAGTAATAGCACGCAGTGGCAGCAGCGGCAGCCTCCCCCGGGTCCTAACGCCCGCTCAGTAAAGAGTTTTAATTCCATAGGGGGCGCTGTTGGCCTACTTCTAATAAAATGAAAGTAAAATACACAAATGCCATTTATACTGTTTCTGATTAAATAAAGCAGTAATTTATGTCATAAAATCATGTGTATGTTTTGATTTAAATGTCAGAAGCTATAGCTTACATGAATAAAAAAATTACAAACATGACACTTGTAAATTAAATAATTTTACATGTACTGATATATTCATTACAAATACCATTTATACTGTTTCTGATTAAATAAAGCAGTAATTTATGTCATAAAATCATGTGTATGTTTTGATTTAAATGTCAGAAGCTATAGCTTACATGAATAAAAAAATTACAAACATGACACTTGTAAATTAAATAATTTTACATGTACTGATATATTCATTACAAATACCATTTATACTGTTTCTGATTAAATAAAGCAGTAATTTATGTCATAAAATCATGAGTATGTTTTGATTTAAAGGTCAGAAGCTATAGCTTACATGAATAAAAAAAATACAAACATGACACTTGTAAATTAAATAATTTTACATGTACTGATATATTCATTCATGTGTAATATGTTATATTTTTAAACAAATTATGAGCTCTAAAAGATATTTAGAATTTTTACAACTCTTTTGCTTTAGACCATCTACAAATGTTAAATCTTAAAATAAAATGCTAAGGTTACCACTGCATCTTTCTGGAAAAAAATGCAGCAATTAATATATAGTTTATTTATAGTCATTTTCAAAGCATCAATGTACTGTCATTATAAAAGAACTTCATTATTGTTTATTTAATTCTAACAAGTAAGTTCTTGCTAAAAACGAACCAAAATTTAAAAAATAATATTAAATAAAATAATTTTAATAAAATTAAAAATAATTTGCTTATAATTTCCACACAGGAGAGACTTGGTATTGTTTCCAAACAAAAGGCAATATATCGGTATCGGCATCGGCTATCGGCTATCGGCCAAAATAAGTTGAAAAATATCGGCATATCGGACATCGGCAAAAATCAAATATCATGCATTCCTAATTAAGAGTGTAAAATCTCAAGCAACAGCAAAATATCAGTGTCAAGCATCAAATGTGAACGAACATACGTGTGGTGCCATAGTTTAAAGATGTGAGCACGGACATAAGACAGACTACAGGGTGGGTGTTTCTCCACAACCTCCAGGTACTCCTCAGCCATCTCCCACACAGGTGGACTACAGCCTTCAAACAGGGCAGGATTGTGAAGATTCCCTTCTGTGAAAGTAATGTCTTCATATATTTATATTACTGCATTGCGAAATATCAAAGTAGGAGTTTTTCTGTACAAGTACGTTTATGAATCTTCTCTTTGCATGAGGAGAGTGTTACCTGCACTCATGACACCTTGTACTCCAGTCTCCTCCATGCAGCGCTGAACATCACTCAGGTGCTGGATGTTTCCATTGGCGAAAACGGGAATGTTTACAGCCTCTCTACACAAGTAAAATAAAGGTACACCATCAGGAAAAAACACTAAGGACGGTCAAAGCCAGTAGCAAGTGTTGTCTCTCTTACCGTACAGCTTTTATGTGCTTCCAACTTGCAATGCCTGTCAAAGCCCCCTTTTGATCTTTAGTTCTCCCATGAACTGTGAGGAGCTGTAAAAAATGTTAAAGATACCAAACCATCAGCAGCTGGTTCAAGAATATATGAATGACATTAGACTGAGATTTGAGGTAATGCAGTGGTTACAGCTCGTATAACAAACATTTACAGATCAGTTCCAGGTTGAAGAGACCTAAGCCTCACTCACTCAAGTGGGCTCCTGAGAAAGGTGCTTATTCCCAGGTCACTCCACATGCACTTTAGACAAAAGTATCTGCTATATGACAAGCAATGGGAACACTTTACCTGGCATCCAGCCTTTTCCAGCATTTTGGCATACTTCACAGTTTTCTCAATCTCTGGGAAGACCCGGATTTTGCAAGTAATGGGCACGGAAAGTTTTTCATCAGCCAGTTTAACTGTAAACGACAGCACCTGAATAAAACACATTCTCTACATGGTTCACATCTGCACTGAGCTATTAAAATAAGACAACTTACTCATTTTCTCAAGAAGGTCCCACTCGTCTTGAAGAAACACACCATAATGGCCTAGGAGAGAATTTAAGTGACGTGACGTGGCATTTAGTATATAAAACCATGATTTGCACTTCTTTTTGCGTTTTATTTTACATTAATCACCAGTATGACAGAACAGGAATGTTTCGGCTGAAAGCCTTCTTCAGTGTGTTCTAGGAGATCATTTAAAAATGAGCCGTACCAGGGAAACAGGGACGCACTTTGCTAAAATTTGAGATTTCATTGAACACTTGAAGCAAATATTTATAGTTCCAAACTTCATATGTTAAAAAACTGCTGTTAAAAAAGTTTTGGGGTCAATAAGACTTTTTAAATGTTTTGAAAGACGTCTCTTATGCTCACTAAGGGTGTATTTATTAAATAAAAAAATACAGTTAAAACAGTAATACTGTGAAATATTATTACAATTTAAAATAATTGTTTTCTATTTAAAATTTTTTAAACAATTTATTTCTCTGATGGCAAAGCTGAATTTTCAGTATCATTACTCCAATCTTCAACGTCACATGATTCTTCAGAAATCATTTTAATATGCCGATTTGCTGCTCAAGAAACATTTCTAACAATTATCAATGTTGAAAACAGTTGTGCTGTTTATGTTTGTTGCAATAGTGATAAATTTTTTTGTTCAGGATTCTTCAATGAATGGAGTTCAACTGAACAAAGTTGATTTGAAATAGAATTCTTTTGAATGGTGGTTTATTTCTCACATACAACAGAAATGAAGTGTCAGCTGAGTTTTGGTACCTCTTTTTGCAATCATCTGTGGGCAGCCCAAATTCAGATCGATGGCATCGCAGTAATCCTGGGCAAGTAGAGCAGCCTGGATAAACACCTCAGGATCATTGGCACAGAACTGTATGGAGATAATACTGTAAATAACTCACACTCCATATGAACACTCTCCATCACCGCATGGGGAATGGTGTGTGCGTACTTGTGTTTACTGATGCCAAAGAGGACGGAGAGACCCACCTGTGTGATGAGGGGTCGGTCATCCTGGTTGAGCTCGTTATACAGGTTCTCCCGACGGTAGTTGGCATCCCTGACGAACACCTGGGCGTGCAGCATGGGCGTGTAGCAGAGCTCTGCGCCATGTCTGCGGCTCAGCAGCCTCCACGCGAGCTCGCTCTGGTCCACCATGGGCGCGACCACGTACCGCGCACCCTTCAGAGTGCTCCTCCAGAACTCGAACCCACAGGGTTTCGTCATGCTGCCTACATAGCATAGGATGAAATCACAATGACTAACGTTACATGAAATCATAAATTCACAGACATGCATACTATTTGCTTGCTTGCCTAAATTAGTTCAGCACCTAAAATTAACATAACACGCTAGTTTGATTAGCAGTAAATTAATCTTGTGTCTGTCAAGTACTAAACATTTTGGGAATGAGTTTCAGCAAAAGAAACTAGTCTGAGACCACGGAATGACTTGTGTTACATATCTGAAGAAACAAACTATGAAAGGCAAACACATTGACAGAGCTTATATGTTAACTAGGAGATTCTATTAGCTGTCATTCTTTTAAAACTGCTTGTATTGAGACAAGAGCACGCACTTACAGTAGCGTAAGACCCAGTCACAGACAGCAGCTCTATGCGGCACATGAACTGTTGTTTGTGTCGTGGTGAAATACATCCGTGAGGAAACAATAAACCTATTGATTTATTCCGGGGGTTATGACAACATATTACACTGCTTAGAATAACTGCTGAGTGGGTTGTAAATTATGTTTTTGTTCAAATGTAAAAACCAGTCATGTCGTCTTTGTAATGTATAGATATATGCTTTGTATATGATCGTGTTCGTATACGCAAAATCCCTGTTTGCGCCAGGTCAATCGAAAGGAATTCAGTAAGGCAAATCTGGAATATAGAATCTTAAAAACCTCGTTTCGATTTTTCTCTTTCAACTATGACAGATTAGGTGAAATAATCATTTAAATCCGTACTATAATTGACCACTAGATGTCAGTGTTGACCTAATCATTTTTGCTGACATTTTTAGATTTTCAAAAAGCTTCATTCTGTGTGATTTATATAAGCTTGTTTCCTCATGGGGATCAAAAATGTCCCCATAAGGACAAGGATTTTGGATATTGCCATCTTTGTGACTGAGGACATTTTGTCTCCGTAATACACACACGCACACGCACACGCACACACACTTATTTGCTATTTTTACTCTTCATTATACAAAAATACTGTACCTTTTCTACTATTTGGCCCCTTAAACATGCTGTTTACTATGATAGTGTACAATGGGGCCTCTAATTAAAAAATATAATTCAATGGCAAAATACTCAGAATTAACCATGAAAAACATTTCTTTGTACTCATCAGTGTTCAATTGATTTTTATTTTTCTAATATACTTCTTTATTTTTCTAATATACGATCTTTAGAGCAGTTGTATTGTTGAATACATCGTATTGAGTTGAATACATCATTACATCAAGAAGCACTTAGAGATGTGTTGTTTTTATGGTTAATATAAATATAGAATGCCTGTGATATGTTATCTTGACATTTCCCTTTATTAATAATAGAATCAACAGGCATGCAATTGTTTCCTCACGTTTCAGGACATTTGTGTTGACAGAGCACTGGTGAAAACACTTGTTACAGAAAGTACCAGTTAAACTAGAATCTACTTAAGAGCATTCCCATTTTGTCAACTCTTTGTTGTGAATGCATTCGTTTTCCTCTGTTTAGATATTATAAAGTATTATTCATCACTGCACTAATACAGTGTGTTGAAGCTAGAGCTCTTTTAGAAAGCTGGTATGGCTGTTAAAGTGGGCGTTCACTGTGTTTCCTGGCGCATTGCTCTCAACGTGACTGAGCACATGCAAGGGAAAGCTGAGTATTTCAGTCATGTGACTCTCACCTATACAGCCTCAAGTGTTGGCTCTGCTCTGACCAATCATGGTCCACTGAATACAATGTCAGCTTCTGTGGGCGTTATCATAGAAAAGTTGTTTTTCAAAACATACGGCCAAGAAAATGTACTTATATGTAAATATTTGTTGTTTTGTAATTATGAACAAATGTTCTCTCACCTAAAGCATTAGGACAACTAACTGCATCCTGTTACATTGTACAGCTGCATCTCTAAAAATCATGAAATATGAATTAAATGAAGCTTATTAAAAAAGCTATTAAGCAGTACCTATAATTTAAATAAATTTAATTGTGTTTCTTATCAGCAGGCAACAGCAGGCAAAAATGTACACCAATGAGTCATTATATACACAAGGTCCTGTAACTATTGACTCTTAACTATTCCACTTCCTTATAGGCTTCATATTGATGTGAGTAAATCATCTGCTTTATGTTATTGTTTACCTTTTTAGCTGCTATTTTCACTATGAAGAATCAAGTAAAGTTGTGAATATGTTCAGTCTGCATGCTTTCTGCAGACTGTATGCTTTTGATATAAAGCATATAGTCTATGGCCTTTTACTTGTTTCTCTGCATAAATTTCAGAATAATTTTTCCTTAATGCTTTGCTTCTGAATATCGAGTCAATTGGAATTTAGATTATATTTCTGATTATTAGAAATTGCTTTTTAAAAATATTTTAATAACGCAGGTGCTCATATTCAGTCAAGCAAGCAAGTCTACTGTAATAAGCAAACAAAGGATATAAAACACTTTAATCCCAATCGATATTAGTTTTACAATTGTTTCCAGGCCAGTTGCATAAACATAAGACTGTGTCTTAAGAACTAGTTTGACTAACTAGCAGTTAACCAAGTGGTTATCAGTCTTACTTTTCAGATTCAAATTAGATCAATCTATGTTTTTATGTAATAGACTTAAAAAAATGATGACCAGTCTTGCAGAAAAAATGAGGTGTCTAACTTTTAAGACTAGTCTAAGACCAGAGCAACCGGCCACTGGAACTACTGTAAGTCTATAAAGTCTAAAAGTCTATTTTTATTTGATTACATAAAGAGAGATAAGATGTGTTTAACATAAGTTTCAACTTCACAAACTGGTTTTGCAAGTTATCTTCCTGAAACATTATGATGAACACATCCAATAAACACCCGCAGATGTAAACTTTGTCATTTTCAGTATTGAACTAAGTAGGCTACAATAGAGAAGCAAATGTATAAATCTAATTCAGCAGTGACATATCACCTGACTTATATATATATATATATATATATATATATATACATAATG